CCCTGTCTAGATCTTAACCATGACAGTAGCAAGCTGGTTTCCTCTCCAATTGTTCAATTAAACCATCAGGAACACGAGATTGACCCGAAACAAGAAAGTGCTACTGCCGAGACAGTATCATCAAGCCTGCCAAAAGCCTTAGAAGGTCCGAAGATGGAGCCTATAAGGCAAGCTAAGAGCTGTAATGAGGGGGCGTGTATCGTTGATATGCTTAAGCCCCCGCAATGTGAGTTCGAAGGCCTTAGTTCTATCAAGTTTTGTGAACAGATGAAGAAGAAAGCATCTTTGCAATATTTCCCAAAACCACAGATACCAATCCGGCAGAACCTTCACCGTAGCCAACAGTCAGGAATCATGAACCCGAGAAGATCTTACATCCAAAAGTCACTATTGTACGCCTTAGCAACTGCAAAAACATCTTGGAATCTCTCAGCAAAACTAGCCGCAGAAAGTAACAAGAACACCCCAGAAAAGACGGCAGCAGAATTAGTCCCGAAAGCGTACCATGAATACCTTGCTATGTTTGAAAAAGGAAATTCAAATGTCCTACCCCCCCATCGACCATACAATCTCAGAGTTGACCTAGTTCCAGGAGCCACTCCTCAGGCTGGTAGAGTAATTCCCCTATCACCCAAAGAAAACGAAGCTCTCAATGAAATGTTAAACAAAGGACTGGCTAATGGAACCATCAGACGAACAACCTCTCCGTGGGCGGCCCCGGTTCTTTTCACGGGAAAGAAAGATGGAAATCTACGCCCATGCTTTGACTATAGAAGATTGAACGCGCTTACGGTTAAGAATAAGTATCCTCTTCCATTGACAATGGAATTAATTGACAGCTTATTGAACGCTGATCAATTCACCAGTCTTGATATGAGAAATGGATACAACAATCTCAGGGTTCGTGAAGGTGATGAAGCAAAACTAGCATTCATATGTAAGGCAGGACAATTCGAACCTTTAACTATGCCCTTCGGCCCAACTGGAGCACCCGGATTTTTTCAGTACTTCATTCAGGATATATTAAAGTCTCGCATAGGAAGAGATGTAGCGGCATATCAAGATGATATACTCATTTATACTCAACCAGGAGTGAACCATCAAGAAGTTGTGAAGGAAGTATTAGAAATCCTGAAGAAGCAAAACGTTTGGTTAAAGCCTGAGAAGTGCAAATTCTCACAATCTGAGATAGCGTACCTTGGACTGATTATTTCGAAGAATCAAATCAAAATGGACAAGACTAAAGTTCAAGCAGTTCAAGACTGGCCAATCCCACGTAACCTATCTGAAGTCCAAACATTTGTAGGCTTTTCAAACTTCTACCGGAGATTCATTTCACAGTTTTCGAAGATAGCACGCCCATTACACGCCCTATCACAAAAGGACACTCCCTTCGAATGGACGGACCAATGTCAACGCGCATTCGAAACACTGAAGACATCTTTCACCTCAGCACCAGTACTGAAGATAGCGAACCCGTACCGTCCATTTGTTTTAGAATGTGACTGTTCAGACTTTGCCCTAGGGGCAGTACTATCACAAGTCTCTGAGGACGATGGCGAACTCCACCCGGTAGCTTACTTGTCACGATCACTCATCAAAGCAGAAAGAAATTACGAAATTTTCGATAAGGAGCTTCTAGCAGTTGTGGCGTCTTTCAAGGAATGGAGACATTACCTTGAAGGCAACCCCAACAGACTGAGTGTAATCGTATATACCGACCACAAGAACCTTCAATCACTGATGACAACAAAAGAATTGCCGTAGACAAGCTAGATGGGCGGAAATTTTAGGAAGTTTTGATTTTGAGATATGCTTCAGGCCGGGTAAGCAATCAACGAAGCCGGATGCTCTGTCGCGAAGGCCAGATTTAGCTCCTTCGAAAGAGGACAAGCTCTCGTTTGGACAGTTAATCAAACCTGAAAACCTACCGGAGGATGCTTTCATTGATGAATTAGAAGTGATTGAGAAGTGGTTTGATGATGAGAGGCAAGTAGAAGAGCCGGCAATAGACAAAATTGAATTGGAAGATGAAAACGATAATGAAGAAGTATGGAATGATTTAAAATTAATTGAAGAAGTTAAAATCAGATCACGCAATGACTCACGAATCACAGAAACTATGAAGCTATGTGAAGAAATGCCGAATTCAAAGTTATTGAAAGACTACAAGTGTATCAACGGAGTGTTATATTTTAAAAATATTATTGAAGTCCCCAATGATGCAGAACTGAAACTGATGATCCTTCGATCTCGACATGATAGCAGATTAGCAGGACACCCGGGTAGGATGCGCACTCTTGCTTTAGTCAAAAGAGCGTTTCACTGGCCATCACTAAAGAGCTACGTATATCAATACGTTGACGGATGTCATTCATGTCAAAGGATCAAAGCAAGAACAACAAAACCCTTCGGAAGTTTACAACCGCTACCAATCCCGAAAGGACCGTGGACGGATATCTGCTATGATCTAATCACTGACCTACCACAATCCAATGGACACGATAGTATCCTAACTGTTGTTGATCGCCTAACTAAGATGGCCCATTTCATGGCCTGTAACAAAACTATGAATTCTGACCAATTAGCTGATTTAATGATTTCGAATGTTTGGAAGCTCCATGGGACGCCTGAAACTATCACATCTGATAGAGGCAGCGTCTTCATCTCTAGGATAACAAGAGATATCAACAGGAAGCTAGGGATTCATACTCAAGCGTCGACGGCTTATCACCCCCAAACTGACGGTCAGTCCGAAATTACAAACAAGGCAGTGGAACAGTACATCAGGCACTTTACAAGCTACAAGCAAGATGATTGGTCAATGCTCTTACCAACTGCAGAATTTGCGTACAACAACAACGAGCATGTTGCGATAGGTATGTCTCCGTTTAGGGCTAACTACGGCTATGATGTAGGATTTGCAGGAGTAGCGTCGAGTGGACAACAAATCCCACTGGTTGAAGACAGGTTCAAGCGATTACGTGAAGTGCAACAAGAATTGAAAGATTCATTATTGATTACGCAAGAAAATATGAAGAATCAATTTGACAAGAAAGTACTGGAAACACCAAAATGGAAAATCGGAATGAAGGTTTGGTTAAGTAGCAAACATATATCAACTACGAGACCAACCACGAAATTCTCTCACCGATGGTTAGGACCATTCAGGATAAGTAGTAAAATATCAACTAATGCTTACAAGTTAGAATTACCAATGTCAATGAAAAAAGTTCACAATGTTTTTCACGTAAATTTATTAAGAGAATTTAGGAAAGGCACGATCAAAGGTCAAGAAGCAACACAACCACCGCCAATTGTGATAGAAGAAGAAGAAGAATATGAGGTCCAGGAGGTATTAGACAAAAGAAGAAGAGGAAAAGGGAAAATGGAGTATTTAATCAGTTGGAAAGGATATGATTCAAGCTTTGACACGTGGGAACCGGAAGAAAATTTGAAGAATGCGAGTGAGTTAGTAAAACAATTCAATTCAAAATATCCAAATGCAGATGAAAGTTATAGAAAGGCAAAGGGGTACAAGTGAGGGTTATGGCTTTTTCCCACTGGGTTTTTTAATGCCAACCCGGGGAAAGATGCTAACCTGCAAGAGGGGGTTGAGTCATAAAAGGGGGAGTGATGTTATGAGCCTATAAGACTATGCTTATACTGAGTTACTGGATAGTTCTTCAATATCCACGTTCACTATTGTACTAGTTCTTCACGTTGCAATCTATACACTAAGCAGCAACACCCTTGACTCTATCCTGGCACGTCTCTTACAACTCTCCTACACATCTCTCTCAAGATGAGTTTCAAGCTATCCTTGCGCTTAATCAATTCTCAAACTTATGAGTTCACTCACTGGCCTGGAAGGTGAACTGTACCAGCCCACCAGTTCCTGGCCTGGAACTGGCTTGGCACGTATACATATGCATAAAATTTATGCCTTTAGAGGGAGTTGATGTACTTACCAGTCACTGGCAGGCCAGAGAAAGTTTTCAAGGAAATTTCAAAAAAGTTTAAATAAACTTCAGAGAAAGTTTAAAGGACTTTCAAAGAAATTTCAAATAAATCATAAAAGAACTTCAGATGATAATTGTAACTCAAAATGAACGTTTTTTACATTCACCAATACCTTAAATCACACCTCAAGACATTTTTTTCCATCCACCAATAGTATTAGGGGGGCTCAAGTCAAAAAAATTTACTACTTTTATCGTAAAAAACTTTTCCCAAATTTTTATGAGCAGTAAATTTACGCAAATTTGCGTAAATTTGCTGCTCAGAAGGAGATCCAAAAGAAATTTTTACGGTCCGTTTTTATGAATTGGGAAAAGTTTTTACAGCACGGTACTGTAAAAAACTTTCCCCAATTTTTTAAAAAAAGGCCGCAAATATTTTGACTTGAGCCCCCCTAATATTCCAGATGTACTTAGAATATTTTTTCTGTCCACCAACACCTGAATCGTAACTTAAAATGTTTTTTCCATCCACTAAAATCCTAATTGTAACTCAATATGTTTTCATGTTGGGCAATATATTGTAATTAAGAATGTTTTTTCCCTCCAATACCCCTGTGGCACCATGAAGATTTGTCTTAATAAAGCTTCAGTACCCCCTCAATGGCCATCAAGGGGCCTCAGTACCATAGCTGTACAAAGCTGACCCCAGGGCCAACTCAACCGTGGGGCCCCTTGTAAACCCAATGGTAAAGTGTTTGCTATCTTTGATCCTATTCATATCCTTGGTTCCAGGCTCCAAACACACTGGCAAATTGGGCAGAATGGCTGCATCAAAGCAATTCAAGCCAGTGAGCTGTTGCTCTACATGTGGTATATTGAGTATGGTATAGCTCGATGGTAACATGTGAACCTATTGTGAAATCCACAATTGAAGGAAGTTGCGGACTCGGACACCACAATTTCCCTCAATCGGGTTTCGAACATAATTCATTCCTATTCATTCCCGCGGTGTCAGAGTGTATTGTCATTGAGGATTAAGCAGAATTCATGACTTCTCAAGACGAACACGACTTTTGAACCCATCCCAAAGCTCACGAGTCAAGCATAAGCAGAATGGATCAGTTGAAGTCCAAGAATACGAAGAAATGAAAAACGAAATAAACTAAAACCCGATGCCAATGAAACATGTCAAACTTCCCAACTTTTCACCCAAAAAGATAAATTCACAATCACATTCTCATTCCAATCCGATCATCCCTACCACACTTCCTATCCTCACCCAAATCAAAACCATCCTAAAGAACCGACCAAAGTATCAACCCAAATCAAACCAATCTATCATCAATCCCTCAACCATAAATTGGTCCAAAATCAAATCACATACTATTCCTACTAAATGGTCATTATACAAATCTTTGATTAAACATACTAAGTCAGCAGATCAGCATTATCAAACTTCATCAAGGTATAAAGACGTTTTGGTTAATGAGATCAGAGATCGATTCAAACAAAACCGATCATTAAGCTCGATTCCAGAAATCCAAAACTCATTAAGATTAGCATATTCATACCTAAACCAATTAACTTTATCAAACCCATCCCACTTTATCCAAACCAAACGAACCCAAATCATCGAACACCAAACCCGAAGCTCGTGGTCTAAGATTTACAAATCATATTATCAAACTATCCTAAAGAGACCTAAAAAACCAATCATGACCGGAAGATTCTTACGTCCTAGTTTGTTTAATAAACCGTTACCTAGATATGCAAATCAACCTGAACATATCTCAATGATGATTTCGTCTAGAAGGAAATCTAATCAAAGAAGAATGGATGAAGAACGTGAGTTATTGAGAATCATTGAACTCGATCAAGCCGATCGGTCTCAAGCGGGCTTACCTCATCATCCTCTTGATCGTAAGTGGATCTGTTTTCTTCGGATTCGATCTCTTGAGTGGGTTCGTACTGAATCCTGATCTTTGGATGCGGATTAGGTTCGTTTTATTATGACCGATTAAATGAAATCCGTCAAACCTTTGTTCGTGATCGAAAAAGAGAAAGAGTAATAATTTTTCATTATCTTCTTCTTGAACCATTTCAACCCTCAAACTTTCTAATCCAAATCCAAATTCAATCCAACCTAATCCAACCCAATGTTTTTTTTTGTAAAAAAAAACAGACAGTTTATACCCGTTCAATGTTAAACGAAATCGAACAAGCCAAAAGAAACAGACCTAAAGATTTACAAATCCAAAATTATTGGAAAAGATTAAACCTTAGGCTAGACGAATTGAATTCGGTTTCATTAAAAGATATAAATGATGATGATTTAAAAGAAAAAGAACTCGAAGATCAAAATATCAAGTTTTGGTCTGGGTAGTTGAATGGAGGATTTGGTGATGAAAAACGTTCCGTGGGGTTTGGGTTGTTTCTTTTTGGTTTAGTTTTCGAGGGTTTTGAAGGTTTTGGAGTTTGGAGTTTGGAGTTTGGATTCTTGTTCTATTGATCTAATTGTACTTTTTTGAATACCTTGAACAAATATGAACCAGTTTATATGTCCTACCACATCCTTCAACTCATTTCTTAAGAAAACCAGCTCAAAAAGAGTACCTTCAATTTCCTGATCAAACCAAAAGAATTTCTTCTACACTCAGAAACCATTTTCGATTCACTTACATCACTTCTTATGTAAAACAAGTCACCTCTTTAATAAGTTATAATTACGTAAACCAAAAGAAAGAAATGATCAAGAATTTAATGATTTCTTATAAATGGCTTTTCAGATCAACACTACATACAAAATCTAGTCACTCTCATGACTCTATTCCAAGTTTTCCAAGAAGTGTTTCTTGAAAAAAAATGAGGTTATGATACGAACATTCGGGTGTTGTTTTTGCAAGGAAGTTTGGTCTTTGATCATTATTGAATACAAAATGCTTTCTGATTGGATTACATAATAGACTGGTTTTGGGTCTGAGTAAGAGTGATCAGAGATGAGTGAGTATGTAAGATAAGTTCATCAATGTCTTTGGTTTGTAAATTATATGGGAATGGCCATAAGTATAGTGAGGAATAATAAGATGGAGAAGTTCTGATGAGTTGAGTTGAAGGGTTTGGATTACTCGACCCGACTGATACTCGAAAGAGAGTGGATCGGGTTTGTAAAGATTGATCGAAATGAGATTGAGTTCTTTACCATATTCCAACTACCAACTACCAACTACCAACTCACTGCTCAGCATCAAATCAAATCAAATCGAATCCATCCAACAAGAAATCAAAATGTCAAGTTCATCATCATCCAACAAACTAGATCCACTGATCTTATTAAGAAGAGCCATCACAAGTAGAAATGATATACATTTAATCTCATCAGAAAACCAAAAAGTATTTACTTTATCAGATTGTAGTATGTTATCATTACCAAGTTCATCAGGTCAACGAATCTTAATTCCAAAAACATTAGTCACAAGGTATCGAAAACCAGATTCACCAATCGATTCAACCCCACTTACTTCACCTGAACACTTTTATGATCTTCAATCGATCTTGTTATGTTATTTGAATCGAGAATCAGGTGTAGGATCTTACATTCAAGAAGCTAATTTACAAAAATGTAGTTTTGTAACTGCAACTGAACGGAAACTTTTGAATGATTATTTAGAGAGTAAAAACTCGATTGAACCTAATCGGATTCTTCAAATAGATTTGTCTCATTCACTTTATCAAGATTTAAATCATCAGATTAATTCGATTGGACATCCTAACACAACTGATCATCATCAATCTAAAGTTTCGAACCATCAGACCAACGCGCAAGAAAGTTTATCAACTCATCATCAAGACTTGAGTGTCGAAACTCAAAATGGAATAGCAGGAGGAGTCGTAGGAGCAGGAGGAGGAGTAGGACCATCACCTAATAAAAGAGTGAGATATATAGTAGACAAACCTGATCAAGAATTAGTGAAACGGATCATGAAATTACACGAGATTCGTCAAGTGTCAGATCGAAAGAGTGTTTTAAGAGGCAACAGTCATAAACTGATCAATTTCGAAAACGCTAGAACTTTAGTTTTAGATAGGATCAAGTCTAGTAAAGAAGATTTAAGGATCAGACAAGCTGGTGGATCAGGAGGAGTGGGAATGGTCAAACAGATCGGTCCGCCTGGTTCGAATGGTACAGGTAGTGCTAAGAGAAGACCGATGAATCCGATCATTATTATTTCTCCTTCTTCTTCTGCTTTGATCACCATGCAGAATGTGAAACGGTTCTTGGAAGATGCAGTGTAAGACCATCTTTCTGAACCCTTTTTATCTTCCCAGTCTTTAAAATCCTCATCACACAATGGATGCTCCTTTTTTGCTAAAGAACAGATTCGAACCACCAAACGTTCTAAGAACTTCAGGCACTCAAACTACCGCATCAGAAGACGTAGTCGAAGTAAGACATCGTAGAGGTTACACCTCATCACACGTCGTCTTACCTTCTAGTTTGGGAGGCCATCAATCTAATTCATCGAGCGATCGAGCTGCACGGTACTTTGTGGTGGATGGTGTAGATGCTCTAAGTAAGTTTGGGGAAGATGCTTGGGATAGGGTGGTTTGTGTGATGACTACTGGTCAAGAATGGCAATTTAGACCTTATAGATGGAGTGATCCAAAAGAACTTTTTCATCATGGTCAGTTCAAAAATCAAATTCTAGATTTCTGCTGATCTTCATCTAGATTTCTGTTTATTTTTTCTTTGATTGAAATTGATCGAGTTGAATGTTTTTTCTTTGGTTTGTTTATAGTTAAAGGATTCTTTATGCAATGGACACATGATCCACCTAATCCAAAAGTAAGAGCCTGGAACGTCACCGAATTAAGAGTAAGTCTCACAAAAAAAATACACATCTCACTTCTCTATCTGAATTAAAAATTTCCATTTGTTTTTGGAATATTAAGATTTGATGTTTTTTTGTTTTTCTTCTTCTTTAGATTGATCAATCCAAACGTCATATAGATAAATCAGCAGCAGCTGATTTTTGGAGAAGTTTAGAAGCTTGGATCGCATTACACAAACCATTTGTGGCATACTGAAAAGTATGTAGTGTGTGTGTGATTTAGGAGGAAGAAAGGGGATTGTAATAATAAATTCTTGAAAGGTTTATATTGGAATGAGAAATTAGAATTAATTAATGGAAGGTTTGATGATTGAAAAGTTTAAATAAATTAAGAAAGAAGATGATTAGAATCTTTACTACACCCTCAAAAAAGTTTGGTCATGGATGTAAAATGAAAAATGAGATGTATTTGAGTGTTTTTTTCCAAAACCTTCTTTCAAAATCAAAAGTATCATGTGTATTTAGAAAAAAACGTTTTTTTTGAAAAATTAGGAAAACGTTGACGTTATAAATAATCTCGATTCAAGTGTTTATTTTGTAAAAGCTTTGATCAAAAAATAATAATTTCAATCTCGGTTGGATCTCATTATCACATTGAGCCTTTGTGGATGTGTAGATATTTGAGTGATACATACTCTGAAGAAAAGTGACACAGGTATATAAGATGGTTGAGCTTTCTAACTTCATCTCTATTGTCTGCTGATCATATTCAAGAGGTTGAAAACTTTGTTAAATCATCCTAACAATCAACCCGTTTTACCACCACAAAGGCTTATCTTTACTCTGCAAGCTCAGTTAAGTTGACAAGTTGAGCTTGCTCTTAACGTACCCTTCAAACCTATTCAACAACTCCAAAGCAGTAATCAAACCCCTTATTAAAACCGCCTCATAAAACCACTCCAAACCATTTCTCCCTACTCATCAAATCCTCGTATGAAACAAATTCAAAAAAAAGATATATAAAATTTATTTCAAAAAAAAAAAAGAATCCACTTTTTACTTAAAATTTTCCAAAAATGAAAAAAAATAAAATGATCAATCGATTTTTTGTTTTTTCTACATTATTATTGTTTCAAACATATCAAATGAAAAAGAAATAAACCACTTTGAATACCACCACCACAACTCTTTCAACAAACACATCACATCACATCAGCTTATCTTTTCTTTTTGGTTTGGTTTCTCTTTCGTTTCTTTTCTTCTTCTCTTTTCGTTTCTTTTCTTCTTCGTTTCTTTTCATTTCTTTCTTTCTGACTTTTCTCTTTCGTCTCTTTTCTTTCGTTTTTTTTTTTCAAGCTCTACGAAAAAAGCAAACCCCCCAAACCCCCAATGTTCATTTTAATTTTTTTTTTCTCAAATCCTTAATTTTTTCTTTTTTTCTTTTGAACAAACAACTTACAAATATTCAAATACATCTCTTGATCCATCTTGTCTTTGAATATATTCCTTTTCAATTAATGTTTCAATCGCTTTCTTAATATCTCCAACTGCAGGTTTAAACCTTGAAGTTAATTGTGAAATCGATTCTTGAATTAAGGCTTGATGTTTCAATGTCTTTCTTGCTTTCATAATCCTAACAAAACAAAACAAAAAAGTTCGGTTGGATTTTGATTTCGTTATATTTTTTTTTCGGTAAATGAGTGATAAAAGAGAGAGAGACAAAAGAAAAGTGAGATCAAGTTACCTAACGATAACAGCTTGGATTAATAACTTTCGATCTTCATCTACTGTTTTTAATACATCTGCAGATTCCACTTTTTGTTCAGACTTGATCGGCATATTCAAATTCACTCTAATCTTCTTAGACTTAAAATCTACGCCAAAAAAACACACACGCAATCACATCAATCATCAATCGGTAAAAAAAAGTTCATCCCAAGAAAAAGAAAAGAAGAAGAAGAAGGAAAAAAACAACAGAATGAAAACGTAATCTGACCAAGATTTAAATCATACGAATCTTCATCTTCTGTTAAAACCTTTTGTTTCACAAGTAACTGTAAATTCGATTTCAAAGTGACAGGATCCAAAGTAGTAGCTTTTTCCAATTCACCAAACGTCAATGAATCACCTCCTACATTAAATTGTAATAAGACTGCAGCTTGATAACTCGAAACTGTAAAGGTATACTTCATCTTTGTATAAGTCGTTGATAATTCTAATCTTGATAAATGCCATAGCCATGTTAACTTTCTTCCACTATGTTTGTTTTGATAGTATCTAATAAATCGTTCATAGGTCGGTAAGATTTCAATGGGGATCGTTAGAGTCGTTGCAGGAGCTGATAGTGGCCATGATGAAGCGGTGAGAGTGAGAGCATGGAAATCGACTAGAACACGCGTGCTAAATGGATTAGAAAGCTCTTTCAGTGCATTTGGAGATCTGCTTAGTGACTCACGTGATAGATCATTAGCATCGTGCGTCTGTGTCATCTTTTCCTTGAACTGATCATTCAAATCTTTACACAATGACATGTCTGTAAAGCATCAAGGGAAATAAGTCAAATACGGGTTATTGTTGATGTGTTTAACAAGAGCAGAAAGGATATCGAGTTGAGAATAGTGATGACCATTTACCTGAAAACATTCGGGTCATCTTAGAGGTATATTCAACACCACATTCCTCTTTCAACCGACTGATCATATTAGCTTCAGCATCATCTGATGCTGATTGAGAATGTACCAATCTTTTCGCCAACATCTTTGAATAAAACTTTTGAAAAACGTCTTTATCTTCAACGTACTTGAACACCGTCATCTAAGTGTTATTTCAAGCCAAGAGGTTCAGATCAGAGGTTATGTCAAACTAAGCAAAGAGAGAGAGTCAGAGAGAGAGAGTAGAGGGAAAGTGACCAACAGTTTGAATGAGTGCAGCATCAAGATCAGCCTCTTCCCCAACCTTATTAGTCTTCCTTAAAAGTTGATCAGTATATTTCGCCAACAATTCAGGTGATTTCCCACTTGATTTTCCAGTGATCACATTCCGATTAACGAAATCTCTACAAGCTTTATCAAGTGCAGCACTAAAACCTGATTCAGATCTAAAGGATTTCTTAACTAAATCTAAATATTTAGAATGAACACTAAGGATCGCATCTACATATGCTTTAGGTTCTACTGCTTCTGGTTTCTCTCCTGCTACTCTTTCGATAGCCGCTAGACCACTTGCTTTGATGACTGCTTCAAATTGGAGGCGGAGGGGCTCAAGTCCCTCGTGGATCCTTGCTAATAATCCATACATCCTAGCGAGGTCTAATGAAATAAACAAATCATCAAGATGAGTTAGTGAGGAGATAGGAAGACGCGCATGAAAGAAGAGACGGCGTACCTTCTTCTTTTTCTTGATCAAGTAGTTTCTGAAATTCTTCTTGTAAGCTCACAGCCTGATCTTTGACCAGAACGGTCTCACAAGTAGTAACGAGCTATAACGATTGTAACAGAGAGAAGTGAATAAGCGCAAGAAATAAACCAAAAGAATTAAACACGACATACGACGCGACGTGAGCTTTGATGAAGATACATCTCAACCCGGTCCTCTTCTTCTTTTAATCTCATCTCTGCCTTTTGCATATACTCAGTGATCGAAGTCTTGGCGATGAACTGTGTAGATTCGGCATGATAAAAGTCTTTAGTAGCGGTTACGAATGGGTTTTCAAAACATTCTTTATAAACATCCAAGTTTTGTCGATTCGAATCACTTTCATCTAGACCAAGAGAAACTAAAGAATTCCGAAAAAAAAAATCCAAGATGAATTAAAGAAATCTGGTGGGATGAGAATATTGATAGGATACCGGAGAATCTTACCGAATGAATCAACTGCTCGTTTCACTAAGTTTGTATCAATTGCTTCTCCATTCCTTTGTTTGGTGATCAAGCTTAAGACAGCCTGAGTCAACTTGTTCTGTTTTTGTACATCTGAAAAGAAATGTTCTTTCCAATTAACGAGTGCAAGCTATACGAAAAAAAACAAAACCATAGGCTCAGGACTCGTTTGATTAGTGTATGAAAGGTGTGGGGAAAGACTGACTGTGTAAATTGGATGAACATTTTTCCTTCCTTCATCCTTTTCTCTCTTCACCCAATGTCGATTAAGGTAAGTAAACAAACGATGGACATAAGTAGCACCAGTAGTGAATCGATCCCATTCATCGGTATAGTATTTTAATAATGCTTCACCAGAGAATTCTTCTGATCCCTACGCGTTTGATGAAAAGATCAGATCAGCCAGGCAGGTTGAAAGATCAAAAGAAATGGATTGAAAACTTACTTCTTTGACTAATTTGACGTGTTCGAGAAAGTACAATTGTAGGCATCGATATAGATCGGATCCCATAAGATTTGCTCCACCGGCTAAATTAAAGTTTACATTAGGTGATATAGCAAAGAAGTGATAGTAGAGTAGAATATCAACTCACATCGACCACCTGAAGAGGATGATGCTAAAGCATCAGCACCAGAGCTATGAACTCTTGAAGAAGTACAATAATTATACGCGACACTGTTTTTCGAACAAGAAGAAAGGACGTTCAGTAGGCGTAACACTCAAAGACTTCAGTTAAGGAAAAGAAAATACTAACGTATAGAGTTGCATATATTTTTCAAAAGTCATTCCATCTCTTAAACGAGTCATGATATGATTTGTACCTTCTTTTAAAAAGTCCCATGTTTGTTGTAAATCACCTGGACTAGGTAGATTTGCCATTTGGATTTGATTTTGATGAGTAGATATTCAAGTCGATTTGTTTGATTGTTGATGATCGATTTCTTTATTAGTTTGATGATTTGTATGATATTTCTTTTTTGAGTTTGAATCTGATTTTCTTGTTTCCTTTGTTTGATTTGTTGTTGTTGTTCTTGTTGAGAAATGAGAAGTGTGTAGTTGTAGTTGAAGTTTGAAAATTTAGCTCGACTGGATCGACTTCAAAGAGAGTCTTGACATGAACTCTTCGACTCGTAACTGATCACTCAGTAATGTAACTTTGGTTCTTTTCTGTAAAGATTTCTAGTATTCCGATCTACAATCTCTTTCACAACTAGATTGTCTCAAAAAGGGAAACAAAGGAACTACTATGTAACAGCTTCGTCCCTCTGAATACTGCATGCAGGTTTTAGTACTTTCCCTTGATCCATTGCCCTTTAGGCTTTGGCTCCCATTGTTCATGAATTATCAAGTGAGTCATCTGGAATGTATTGTACGCAGTGGTTGATATCCGAAAAGCTACATAGCACTTTGAAACACAAAAGATTGAGTCATCGGGGCTATCAATGGACGAGGTAAGACGGGGCCATGCTCATGGCCAACTGCCCTGCAGGCTGCCTCGGATCTGGAACACACGTGACCGTAGATCTGCGGTTCAAGTCAAGCAGTTCTGGATGGGCCTGGATAACTTCAGTCACCAACTCAAAATGGTCGTATCCCCCGTGACTTTGGTTGACAATAGGATGGGGGGTTAGGCAGGGGGATCAAATGCTTGCTCAGCTCTGTAGAGGCCACAAGAAGTTTGAGTCTATGTGCTACTATATTACACTGTATTCCGAATGGGTGTGACAAAGGTGTTTATAGAGGGTCACCGCTTTCCTTTGGGTGTGCTCAAAGCATAAAGTTGATTACTAAACAAAGTCAGAGACACAAAAGCCTTTGCAAAAACACGACAAGACAATAGCCTCCAAAAAAAGAGAACAACTGAAAATCTAGAGTGTTAAGACTACGAGTCTGGGTCTTGATCAACGGAAGTGAGGACTTCAATAGGTCATCTGAGTTCTATTATGAGATTGTTGTATGAGGGAAAAGAGGACACTAGAACATGACGTAGATACAAGATACATTCTAATGTGTGACATATATGTGTTAGACCTTCCACAAGATGAGATCATAACATAGAGGCAAAAAACTCTTTGTCCTGATTAATAGATGTCTTCTCCTAAGGTCTAAACAATCCTATCATATTGTAACTTGTTTAGTTAGTATTTTATGCAATTCTGCAGTTATACACTTGACAAAAAGTCATGTAGCTATTTTTTATATGTTGGACATTGAGAAAAAATGAAAAAGTTCAAATCTCAGTTTTTGACTGGATCTAAACACAGCAAAGACTGTATTTTTTGGTCTTCAGTAGTAAACTTTGGAGTTTGATCTTCTTTAAGGTAGTAAAAACTTTACCTTTTTTTCTGGAGTCCAACATATAATGAATTCGTAGTAGTTGATTGAATTATCAACTTAGTGGAATATGTGAGAGGTCAGGGACCACTTGAGCAAGGGGAAGGAAGGTGCACTACCACTGCCAGCATTAAAGAGGTGCCCTGACCTAGGCTGTGAATCTCATTGAGAGTAGAATGGGTCATCAAATCATCTTGCACTGCAAAATTGAGCCATAAAGTGTATGCTACATATGTGCCAACATCTGAGTAAATCCTTAGCTATTATCTACATATAGTTCTGCTCAGTTATCTGCTCATCTGAATAAGCAAATCACATGTAATACATCCTGTAACTTTGTTCAGATTGAGACAAGCATTTTGAAACATTGACTACATACATCAGAATTGCTACTTGAGAAATATTCATGAAGCTGTGTAACAGTAAGAGAAGGGGAATCTGGTCCTTAAGACCCATATTCCCATCCGGGAAGCTCTTCAATGCTGGAATACTCCAAGAAGATGTGCAACAAAAATGGCACCACAACAAGCTCCCCCAATGAGCTTTGTCAAGCCTGAACTATCAGAGGTTTCCTCTGTTCACTGCAAACACTGTTCAACATCCCCAAGTGGGCAGAAAAAAATGATTGGGAGTACAATTTGTCATAAAATGATCTACCACTCCATACCTGAGCCATAACACCCACACTACATATGTGAAGCAGGCTGAGTGAATAGGTGGCTCTCATGTACACGTCCCCACGCCTAGGATTTGTAATCATTGGGTTTGCGACAGGCCCCGGCCCTGCCGCTGCAGAACTTGAATGATTACGTAAACCACTTAGAGGGGACTGTACATACAGTTCTGCTCAGCTTTATGCTCATCAGGATAAGGTTTTCATATGTAATACATGCTGTGACTTTTTTCAGATTGACAAAAGCATTCAAAAGATTGACTTCATACATTGACTCAAAGTTGGTGTAATCCCATCAACTCTATTACTACTGGGGTCGTGGTTTCGATGTATATTACATCATTTGGGATCCACTAACCATCCCCCTTAGTCAGGATGAGCCCCAAGACCCGCCAAATCAGGGATACCCGCGGGACAGCCCGTCGGGTCGGGGGGTTGTTCTGGCCTTCGAAGGGTCGCAGAACTGCAGGGATTGTTGGGCCCGGGGGTCTTTCTGAGAGTCAAAAGAAAGTGACTCTCCTTGGGGAACCCAAGGAAAAATCAAGCTGTGAAAAGCGGATAGATACATGCTTGGGAGAGGTTGTGCTCAGCGGTTTCTGCCGGAAATAACTGGGGACTCGGGGGTCCCCGTAATTTCCTGGGGGTCAGGGTATGGGAACCGGGCTTGACCTGTGAGCCAAAAAAAGCTTGGGGAATACCGGGGTCGGTCCTTGTTATGACTTTTGAAAAAAAGTTGGTGGGCCGGGCAGCCCAGTCCCCGCATTTGGGGGTCGGGGCTCATCCTGACCCCTTAGGATAGTGTAAGAATTCACTCTATCCCAAGGTACAGGGGGGGCTGCTGCTGAGCCTCCAGGTTTGGGTCCATGAGAAAAACTTCTCAGTTACCAAACCTGGAGCTTGTGACTTTGCCAGGGGGGAGGGTAGAAAATCTTTTATATTGATGAAATATAGAATTCAAACCTTTGAACGAGCTGAGATGTGCTGTTTGGAAGATGAGATGTCGTGCAGGAACTCGATTGGGAGAAAAAAGTTTTTTTCCAACACAGTTCTCTTCAGAACTGTCCACAAGTTTCCTTGCTATAAGCATATATTCTCATCTACACATATCCTTCCAGCTCATGGAGCTCTGCACCAAGTTGTACCTTGGTTGGTGCTCACACTCAACTGCATGTAACACCCTTTCTGTTACTAAGAAATAGCTTCAAGAATATTGCCTGAGCAGCTACAGAATTATATGTAGTAAATTTTTGGGACAAATTTTTCAAAGTCAAAAAAGTTACATGTGGTATGATATGTGCTTCATTTATTCAGATGGGAAAAAAACTGAGCAGACCTGTAGGTACATGATAGACAACTATTTACTTAGCTTGCTGCACATATGTAGTGTGGGTGTTATGGCTCAGGTGTGCAGTAATGGATCCTTCTATGACAAACTTTACTAGTAATCATTTTCCTCTTCCAACCTGGGGAAGTTGAATGATTTCCACAGTGATTCCTAGTTGTTGCAGTTTCTTTCTTTGTCCCAATTCAAAAAATTGTTCAGCAGAAAAATGACAAAAATATTCATTGTCTCTGTACTCTCAATTCAATTTATACATTTCATGCACCTGATACAGTTCTACTTTTCCCCGCTGGCTCATAGTTATCAAACCAGAACAAAGCCCACTCTGTGCCGCCATGTCTGTGCCCTTGCAGAGGGGATTATGACTAATTGTTGAATTCTGGTGTGAACACTTCAAGGATTATGTTTTGTCATGTAGTTTTTTGTATTTTTGCACTTCTTCACAAAAAATCCTCACTGCAGCCCCATATTATAATCACTCCAAGTAGCAAGGACAAAAGATTTGTCAGAGGATGTTTACAACATCACCTGAATTATGGGCTTTTTGGATCCTAAATTTGTGGGAGATGAAAATACACCCTGTACACCACTTTACAAGTGAGATATAAGGCTTGAACATTCACCTCAAGCAGTGCATGATGGCCACAGTTCTCCCAACTAAAACAGGTCAAAACACACATAGAAAATGTCTCTCAATGACTCTGACTGTGGGGTAAAGAGGGGTACATCAGTGAGGGAAGCAAGAAGTGTCAAAAAATACATAAGGATAATTAACCTCTGGAGTGTTCATGCCAGAATTCAACAACTAGTAATAAGCTCCTTGGAAAGCGCATGGACATGGCCGCACAGTGCAGAGAGAAATTTGTTAAGCTAATCAAATCAGTCATTTTTAAAATGATTTTTTCCCACCCTCACTTTCAGACAGAGGGTCAAGTTTTATGTGTTTTTCATTTTCCACCATTTTCCCTTATCACTATCTCACTGAAAAGAGTAGGGGGGACTCCAGTGGAGGGACTCAGCGCAAAGTGTTTTCACCCACAAGCATGCATCCAGTTTTTGAGAAAAGGCCCAATTTAGGGCACCATTGTGCTATTCAGGCCTCAGGGTAACATCAAGGGTGAATCAACCTGACCATTTTTCCTGCACCAAGACTGATTCCTCATGACAAACGCCACATAAAATCAAGTATGAGGTATATGAATCATAGATCTTACTATTGGATATTATTACAAGAAATTTACAAGTTTTGGTTCAAGGTACATTCTTTGTGGAATTCACTCAACACTCCCAGTGCAAACTCACACTGAGCTTTGTGTTCAGTCAGTTCAGAAAAGTATTGAAGAAATTGAGCAAGGACTGGAACTTTTTGATTGATAGAATATTCATCTATATGAATAAGAAATTTTCTCATGATATTGCTTGTTTCCTTATAATTAAACTTGACTAACTTTCCTATTGATCTTTCTAATGATGGTGTCTCTCCGAGTTTTTGCATCTTCAGGAATACACACATGTCTTTGAGTACAGGACAGTCATATCAGTATACTTGAAGTGATTTTGAGTTATTTACGTCCCAGAAGTACTCACAAGTTGACCAGAACTGAATGATCTTGATTTCATCCCATGATATTTCAGGTGGATCGATCTTCAAACCATAAGGTTGTATCTGAAATTGTGTTGACATGAAAGTATGTGAAGTGCTATTTTTTTCCACAATACAAGTCAGACATATGTTTGTGATTTGATCCCATCATCATGTGTCAACTCACAAGGGATCTTCTATGGACTTGATGTAATTCAAGATCACCTCTGATTGAGATATCAATGTCAATTGAACCCAACTCATGAAGACATTCTCAACTGGTGCAAAACTTTGTGGAAATCTGTGAACTTTTTCGATCAACTTTGTTTGAACAATTTGAGATTCCAAGACAAGTTGTAAAGTTGGATCAAATTTGATTTGAGTGTAAATGTTTTTATCTAGACTAGAATATCAGCTTTTATCAATTAACTTCTTGAAATTATACATTGATAATTACTTACGTGTTATCCAAAATGAAATGATATACTCTTGATATGTTAGAGACCAATTCCCTCTCAGTCTCACACCATTAGAACCAACTCTATTCTTCTTTGCTGAAGGCTTCATAAGATATCTTGGTTTTTTAATCATCTCAACTCCTAGATCAACTGGAATGAATATCTGAGGCTTAATCATCTGGTAGTCAACCAAGAATTTTTTTTGGTTATATTCTCTCACCTTTGTATGATTTGAAATGTTGCAATAGTGAGGTTGACATCACTTGAGAATATGACCCCTTATATTCTGAAATAATTTCTTGTAGACCATCAACTTCTGATCTTGATGAAAACAATGGGATGATCCACATGTATAAGTATACAAACCTCATCATGTATCTTGTGACTGTAGATCAAGCAATTCAGAACCAAGTAGTGGCAAGACAATCAATACTACTGAAGACAAACTGAATTAAAAAGTGTCTGAAAGATTGACACAGATAGATAAGTATGATATTAGAAGCTAATTGTGCAAGCCTTCCTCCTATCTGCTTATCTGATACAGAGTGCATGTTTACATTAGAAAATTCATGACTAGTCTTCAAGATAGTATTTGGAATTGAGATTAGATTGTTGATATTGTGTTTGAAGATGATGCAGATCGCATAGCTAACACGGTTGATAAAAAAACCTTAATCTATATTTAGAAGACTGTTTATTCAATTGTCAAACTCCATTCTCCCATCTTGAGCATAACATTGATGAAAAATGTTGCAAATAGCCTAGATAACTGATTCATAATTTCTTGGCTTGAAATGTGTGCCAAAGGGGGTGTGCGCAATACTGCATCAATATTGACCCACATGATATAATTCACCAATAGAAGTTATGTAGACATTTGAACCGTTGGCACTGTCTTTCAGTTCTGTATCAATGTCCATGCCAAATGAGTCCATGTGTATACCACTGAAGCAGCCTGAAAGAAGGTGTAGTTTGTTTTCAATGTAGGTTTGGTAGCCATCAAGGTGCAATCTGAGTGTGGTTATGATATCTCTGAGTTTGAGACCTGAGGATTTCAGGATGAAGGGGTTTGGGGTTGGTTCTATTACCCAGATCTCAAGCCCATCTGGATCAATCCACCTTAAGTTCTCCCCTGGCTTCAAAATTCAATAAGCTGCAAGACCCAATAAGATCAAAGATCACTACTTTTAGGTAACTTCAGGGGCTAGGGAAAGTAAACAAGCAAGTCAGGGGTAAAGCAATTTTTACACATGTATAGGGTGATGTTTCCTGAAATATTTGACAAACACTTGTTCATTAGCAAAAGAGACTTAGTTTGCACCATGTTTCAAGATTTTAAGTCCTACTCTTACCTGCAATGGGATAAAGATACATAGCCTAAAAGAAAGTAATCACAAAAATTCTTGCCTGCTAAACCACTTGATTTGGTGATTACAATGGTTGCTAATTAGTGTTTTTGAATCAATATTGAGAGAGTTTCTGTGTGATTTGTTTTATCCCTAACACAACACATCTCCCAGAGCCTGCAGAGCAAGCTCCTCAGGACATATGCAGTTCAACAGACTGAGTTAAGTTACATTCTCCCTTTTCAAAATTCTTTAGCATTTATCTTGCAGAATTTTTGCACCTTTGGAAGCAACATTTGAAACAAAATAAATCAAAGTTCCACACAGTATCACAAATCATGTTTGAAGTGCTATTCTATAGTCTTTCCTTAACCATGAAAGGTTGTATGATTGTGGAGAATCAAACTATCATATAGGTTACATTATTGTACAAAATGACAAGCATAAATATCCATAAGTGAAACTAGCATCACACTACATGGACACTAAGATTTGAGCAAGTATTGATTTAAATTGACCTGGCACTTTAAGTACATGAATACATCAGACTTAGAGCTAACAAGTATGATAAAATGTGTTATGTGCTGTGGCTTATGGAAAAGCTCTGGTGGAATTCTCAAGGAACTCTGACTGAATACACATCATGACTTCCATTTTTGGTTATTTCAGCAAAGTATTGAAGGAATTGAGCAAGAACTAGGTTATCCTGAGTGACATCCATGCCTTACACATGAATCAGATATTTCTCTATGATCTCACCTGTCTGCTTGAAATCTTCTTTCAGTAAAAATCCTGTGGTAGTGCGGAATGATGGCCTCTCAGCAAGTTTTTTCATCTTCAGGAATACATGCACATCTTTTAAAGGGGGAAACACATTTCAGAAGGAAGGGATCAATCTACAAGATTTTCAAACAGCTGATAAAAATTGCCTCTTACATGACTCCGGTGAATACCATGGGTCTTACCATGTGATTATATGATTCTCTCGAGCCATGCTCTAATACTTTCCAGCCAAGCTCAACTACATCAAGTAGTAAATCTCTCCTTTGTCAATCAAGACCAAATCAACATATCATGTTTTACAAAATACCAATATAAATCAATATATGAACAGAAATTTGTATTTGTCAAAGTTATATCAACATATATCAATCACAAGAAGAAAATTGGGTTCATCCTCTAATCAAATCTTTCAAAATGAAAAATATCAAAGACAAACCAAACTGATTATGCACAACAACAAATTTCACGATATACTTTCAAGCTTTCGAAAACGAGAACAAAACCCATCAAAACAACAAAAAACTACTCACACAAATCAATGAACAAAACACTTTGAATACAATCCTACAAACATTACCGTGCTTATATACTTCCAATTCTCCTTGGTTGATTTATACTCATCCAATGTTTGAATCTTCAATTTTTCAAACTTTACCAATCTTTTTCTTACAAAGTTCAGTTGCCATCTTTCTTAATTCAACCTTCATGATTTTTCCACTTGCAGTCAATGGAAATTCTTGATCTTCGACTTCCTCTTTCTTTCCCAAGAACCTGTAACATAAAAAATCATGGATATGATTTTGATCAGTTTCTATCATTAACCAAGTTCTGATTCTTCTTTAGGAACTAAAAATGTACCAAACCCATTTTGGCGAGTTTTGATGAGAAAGTCGAGTGGTGACTGCTTCACATATCTGTGATCGCTCCACTGGACCATTGCATTTCACAAACACTCCAACGGTCTTCAGAAAAGTACAATAAGCTCAATCAACATCCTGTTTGCACAGATAATAGTCAATAAACTACTCACTTCACCAAAGAAGTCATCGGGTACCCCCACAACTGCAGAATCCACAACACCTTCAATTTTGTTCTATACATATTATCAAAGAATTAGTCATGAGATCCATCAAAGACTGGAATGAATCAGAAAAGCAACATACAATACAATCCTCAATTTGTACCGGGTTTAAATTTTCACCACCTCTGATAATCATGTCTTTAGACCTACCAATAATGGAAAGGTACCCTAAAAGATTCAAAATCCAGCAATCAGTAACTAACCTCACAATTTCGCGTTCGGTCGTCATCTCTCAAGAATCAAAGGTCAAAATTACATACCTTCATCGTCAATCTTACCCAAATCTCCAGTCCTCATCCAAGTTTGTCCATCGGTTTCATCTTTATACATAGCTTTCTTTGTGGCTACTTCATCTTCCCAATATCCTTTTTGTAGTGCGTAACCTGAAACTACCAATTCGCCTGCTTCTCCACAATCAAGTGTGTTTCCATCTTGATCAAGAATCTTGGCACGTAGGTGTGGAAGGATTTTACCTACTGTTGTCTATATATACAGGTGATCCCATGTTGGTTGAGAATCAAAAACCTGGACTTTGGAAATTATGATCTTGAACTCTTATAAGGAAAACTAGCCTACTCACCATACGCTTAGGTGACTTATCATCATAAGAGGTCTGAAATGAGCAAGGTGATGTTTCAGTCATGCCTATGAATGAAGATGGATATCCAATGAGTTAAGAACAAGAATCGTTTTGTCAAAGTCTACCGTGACTTTCCGAACCAGAATAAAATGTGACTTACCATAAACAATCGTCATCTGTGTAAGATTCATGTGGCGTTCCAGTTCGGTTATCATCCCTTTTGGAACTGGCGAACCCGCTATGACGCCCGTCCTAAACAAAAGATCCATCAATCAGTTTATGCTATCAAAGTGGCATAAGATAATCAAAGGAGTATGATTAACTAACCGCAGTGAAGAAAGATCTAAAGGACCGATTTCTTTGAGGGCTTGTAATTCAGCAATGAACATCGTAGGAACTCCATGTCTATTGATCATTAAAGTAAGGTAAGAACGTTAGGATTCGAACGGTTCTCAAGGTAAAGCAAACCAAATTGAACCTGGTTTTCGAAAAATGACTCACACGGCTGTACATTTTTCAGAAGCGATAGCCCTAAGCGTTGCATGAGCATCGAATCCTTCACTTGGATATACTACCCTCGCACCATGAATCCAAGAACTAAGGTTTCCGATCACTAAACCTAATGACCGAAATTCACAAAGGTAAACCAAACAAAAAAGGTCAACAAAAGGTCAAGAAACTTCAAGATGCTGATTCATTGAAATAAAAACCTACCAAAACAATGAAAGAGAGGAGGAACATTACAAACCCGATCTTCAGGCTGAAGGTTCATTCTTTCTCCCATCTGGACAGCATTATTCAATATATTGTGATGAGTGAGAGCCGCTGTTCAGAATAGTAGAGCATGATCATCAGGACAAGTTTGATAAACGGTATCATGACAAAAATCGGATTCGAAGGGAAATGAATCAAAAGCTGACCTGCTTTAGGTAGACCAGTTGTACCACTAGCTAAGAGGAAGTGAAACCGGATTTTATTAGCATATAGTTCACTAGTCAAAGAACTCTTCAAAACCATCCCAAGAAACTCACTGAATTGCAGATTGATGACGTCATCAGGTAAAAGAGTCTCATCGATCCGATTGACTCGGTTTGATTCCTTCACAAGCACTTCACGATAATCCAAACCACCTCTAAGCTGAGAAATAACAGAATCAATCGATCTACCTTTCTTTCCATATTCATTATCGATCAAAACTATTGACTTTAAATGTGGTAAAGTTTGGGTATCTTCAAGTTGAATTGATTTTAAAATTGCTAATGTATCTTGACGACGAATTGAAGGGGTACAAAATAAAACCTTGCATTGAACTTTCTGTGAAATGAACAAAATCTGATTAGTGATGAGAAACCAAAAAAAAGACATCAAATATCAAGAATTTTCATTTGGATCGCATACATTGAGTGCATTTTTCAATTCGAGTGGTTGATACGCTGGATTGATAGTTGTTAAGATCGCTCCTATTTCTGCAGTCGCCCATTGTAAAGTCGCATAAGCACTATTATTTTGTGAATAGATTCCAACTCGATCGCCTTTTCTATAATCAATCAAACCCGAGATTAATTTTCGATTTCATCAATCAAGATTAAGACTAAGAAAGACCAACCGAACACCAAGTTTCAAAAGACCATTAGCGAGTCGATGAATTTGATCATCAAACTCCGAAAAAGTCCATTTGATAGTTTGATTTGAACTTGCTGGATTCGAGGTAGTTGGTTCATGTTTGGAGATTAATGCGACTCTTGAATGATATTTTGGTAATAAACCATTTAACCAATAGTTTGATAAAGTTTTGGATATCAGTAAGGGGGTGATTGAGCCTGTTAATTGAGAACTCGACTTTTTGATTGTCGAAGTGTTGATAGATTTCGAGATTGAACTGAGCATTTTTGCGTGTAAATCAAAGGAAGACTAAAGGTATTATGTAGTGTCGAATGCACAAAGCTCTAAAGTTTGAGCCCAATTTGCTCGAGTTTGCGGGAAAACCTGCACGGAATTGGACAAGCTTTTTGGAATCGAGAGTAAAGTATCTTCAAATCTTCTAATTGATATTTTGTTAATTTTGAACTTTTTGCAAAATTAGTCTGATAGAAGCTTGAGAAAAGATTTGCAATATTTTGACCAATTAGAACTCAAATCTTATTAGATGAGGGTTTATATATGTAGGGAAAAATCAGAAAGATTGAGTTTCCTCGATTGGAGATTCGAGAATGTGTACACCACGCGGCGAGAAGGGTGACGGCAGTGTCAGAACAAGCATGTGTCCTCATGTATCCGCACGATGCGGACGCGAGAGTCATAAGTATAATGATAGAAGTTCATTCGTCGTTCGCCCGATCCCATACACACCCGAGCCGTTCTCAAAAGGGTCATTCTGACGTGACCAAGAAACCAAGAAAGTAGCCCCGCGGTGTGTCAATTCATAAAGTTTGAGAAAACAACAAAAGTTCCAAGGGAGACAAAGCTAGACAAAGCCTGCTGTCTGACAAAGCTCTACAAAGCCTGCTGGGAATGTGGCTCGTAGAAACCGCGCCGGTTGAAAAACCGGCGCAAGAGGTAGTCGCGAGTCTGATGTAAGCCCCTCTTCAAGGGCGCGGCAAACACGCTTGTGAGGGGCTTAGTTAAGCTTAACTCTCCCTGCTCTCAGCTGTTCTCAGAGGACACTTGAGATTTGGCCTCAATACAGGCTTCAACTTCACCAAGATTTTTTTTGAAATCCTGACCCAAACTTGGCCAAATCCGGCTTAAAAAACTTCAGTGAGAAACCCTACGGACTGGTCCCTTTAACTTGTTCCTGGTGGAATCTAAGCCAGGCCACCATGCATGCTAAGCCCGTTTCGGATGTCCGTATATCATGTATTACCTCTTGATTCAAGATATCCCTACCTTTCATTTGAAAATACACACAAAGATGAAAGACATCAATGATGAAGTGAAGAGTTCATCGTTCAATTCAAGATGCTTAATGATCTTATCAAAGATGAGTCCTTTTCGTTGCATTTGGTGCAAGTATCAAGAATCCGTGATGTTTGTGACGAGGGACGTCTTGATATTTTACCTTGACTACCTACATATGTGAAGAAGAAAAGTTTCGTTATCCAGCCAAAATCCACATCCTTTAGACAAAAAACCAAAATTATTATTTGAATATTCTTGAGAATCAAATAAGTATAACGACAAACAGTGTTTTGTTTTATCTTGCTCAAAGGTTTTACAATCAGAATGAAAAACAAGAAGTATCTTAAGTTATCTCATTGAAATGAAAAAGAAACAAAGTTTTTACAATCAAAATAAAAAACAAGAGCTACTGATGCTACTTGAAAGTTATCCAATTGAAATGAAAAAGACAAAGGATTTAATGTTGAAACTTTTAAGATCAGAAGGAAAACAAGGTGTTATTGTCAAGTCAATTTTATTAACGACTGATAGTTTGCTTCTCAGTGACTTGTGATCATAGTGATTGAAAACAACATTTTTCTTAGAGTGCCAAAAACTGAAACCAATAAGATGCAAGAAAAGGAAATGATCAATAACAGCTAAAGTCAGATTTCCATCAAGTCACTTTCATCTTCATTAGGCATTGGGCAAAATTTTTGCTGGATTTTTTATTTTTTTGGCCAACCAGTGGTGTGCCTCACAAAGCAAGTCAAAGATTGCCAAAGAGAGTTGGACCAAGTTTCACAGACATTGAGGCTGTGACTGTTGCTTCGCCGGGTTACCTTTTTGGTTTTAATTTTAATTTGCCTTGGTCTGATGACCGCTTAATTCTTGTCTTTGAACTTCCCGCTCTTCAACTCGGGCGTTTTGTTCTCAATCGACTTTTCTCAGGTTTGTAGTGACTTTTGATGATTGTCTTTCATCATTTCTGTTTGCCATGCCAGTGTAGATTTGAAACAGAGGACCCGGTGCAAGGCATATGTGAAAATCTGTGAAATCTTTGATAGGCTTCCTTTGTGGTGTGATTAGGGCTTGTGGCTTTCACAGATCGAGCAAGGATACTCTACGCCACATAAAATTTCAGAAAACTTTTTGCAAAGCAAAACAAGAAATATTTGGCTTGCTATGCTTTGGGTGGCTTTGATATCGTGTCAGCCATGGCTTATCAGGATTCCGAGAAATCTGAACTACATTTGAATTGGTTCCAGCAACCAAAAATCAAAAAAAAATCAAAAACCTCGCCCAATGCCTATTTTCTCCCTGTGTGTACGGCTTATTCTGTCACCCCTCCGTTCCGTACCACGGCTTTCAAAACATCATGTTATGAGCCGTATTCTTATACATAGACTATATGCTTGTACTGAGATCTCTGCGTACTTGGAGTTCTGCCAAGCAGACTTTTTACTGCTCTTCACGTTGCAATCTATTACCTACTAGAAGTCACCTTTCATCTCTCTCTTGCATCTCTCTCAAGCATCAAGGCCTTAACATATTGCAACATCTATCACTTAGAAATCCAAGAAGAACAGAAGTCTCAGAAAGGAAGAAAGAAGGAAGTCAAGTCAACTGAAGTAAAACGAAGAAAATTAAGAAAGTCAGAATAGAAGAACAACCCCGCACTCAAAAAGAAAATTAAAGTTTATGCAGCCAAGATTAGATCAGCACAGTATTTAAAATTAAGGCCCCGTTTGGTATGGCTTACAAAAACTGGAAGAAATGTATTATTTTTTGAAAATAATCTATTTTACACTTTTTCAAAAAAACTCGTTTGTTATCGCTTTTGCCCTCCTTTGCCCCTCTTTTCAAAAGCCATTTTATAGTCGATAATCCATTATTTTCCATCATTTTGAAAGCTGCTCTAGACCAGCTTTCAAGTTTCAATAATCCATTATAAACCTGGAGGAAGCCTCAAAACTCGGGGCTCTGTCGCATCAAGATTCAAGACCACTTCGGATCAAAATTTCGCCGACTACAAACAATCGTTTCTTCATCACGCGCGCAACTTCAAACGTTCATGTTTATCAAATCTATTCTGATTTGTATAAATATGTGATCCTTACGAGTTCAACCCTTGTTTTGTAATAACTTGACCTTCATAATCATCAATTTGACTTTGGTATTTCAATCACTTATAATGGTGATAAATAAAAACAACATCACTTGTTTCTTGGTGAACATATAGACTGAGGGGTTCAGACTTGGACCAAGTGATTTCCCTATTGATCAGCTCCATCAACTCATCAAAGTGATGATTTGAATGGATAGCCAAGTTCAATTGATCTCTGTGTCCAAAGTTGAATCGACCGATCAAAAATCAAGAGGACAATAAATTTTGATTGATCTGTAGTCAAGTTTGGTGAAATACCAAACAAGACCGAACCAAGTCTGGCTCGCCGCGCAGAAAGTAACGTGCGGCGCGGCGTTGCCGCGTCCCTACCCGGGACTTCCAGGATCTGGGCGTTACGCCCTGCGCTGACATCTTTGGGACCGGGTTTCTTTGCGCCACGCTTTTCTCTACTTATCAGCCACCACCATACATACTTACGCTACCTTCGATTTACCCATTTCATTTATCGATTCTTCCATCAAGCCTCTCCTTTCCACCCAATATCAAAGTATCTTTCCAAGTGTGTGGAAGTGGTGCCGGATCCCAACAAAGAAACAGCCTCAGTTCTGAATATGTGGACATATACTGACCATCTTTTCGACTCATGGATGTATCGACTTTGGGTTAGGGGTAAAAAGGTCAGTCTCTCTCTTTCTACTTCCCTTCCTCATTGACTACATATACTGTTGTTGTTGACTTACCTTTGTCTTACCCTATTTTCCATTGATCAATCATTAAATTAAATTAGACACTCGATTTGCTTCAAATCACATCCACTCAATTTCCTAACTCTGAATCTTATCAATCATCGTTAAATTTCATCATGCCTGACTTACCCAAGCAACCGACTCTTGATTCATTTGTCTCTTCTGGATACGAGACCGACAATGGTCTTCCAGTCCCTCGACGTTCATCTCGCATAGTTACTCCAGCACGACGGGCCCCAGGGATGATTGTCCCATCCTCGGACTCTCGCCGTGGTCTTTTCGATGGGGTCCGGGATGTGAGAGACGCGCACGTTCACCGAAGACGTGAGCGATCCGCCTCTTTACCAGGGAACAAAGTACCTCGTGAACCAACGGTTTCACGTCCTTCCACTAGGGTGAGCTGTCCTACTACTTATTCCAGATCTTCATGTTGCAAATCGTCTTATCTTTCTTTATTTATTTCAATGTATCTCAGGCTGGAGGTACCCACCGAGCTCGCTCCCTTTCTGTATCAGATGCCGATATTGAAGAACCAACAGGAAAAGCTCCAGGTCCTCCTGTTGTGGATCTTTGCCAAGATTCAGATGAAGAAAACTCACGACTCCGAAAACGCAAAAGAAACCAACCGGTCGAAGAGTTTGATGATGCATTCGATTACTTTGGACCACCCACCCATTCCAATAATGATGTAAGCTGTTTCATTATGTTTTTCCATTCTGTTTCTCTCTTGATTACTGACATCATTCATTCAAACGTACTCATGTAGCCATGTGACCAGCCCGGACTATCTTATCCGTGCCTCTGGTGCAGCAAGGTCGTTCGGGTGAGTGCTAGCTCTCGTCGTTCTAACCTCAAGATCCATCGAGATGGATCCAAGCAGGCTGGGAAGTCTGGTGCTGGATGTCCTCGACGTAACCAGGCCATCACGGCTGGCGCTAAGCTACCTCCAACCAAAACCGAATTACGTCGTCAACGTCTCCAGCAAGATCATCAAAACTCTCTAGCGGCTTTTTTAACTTCAGCACCTAAGTTCTCAGTTAAAACTTTGAACCAATGCCTCGCCGTGTGGCAAGTATCACAGGCATTACCGTTCAAAAGGATTGAAGATCCAATTCTTAAGTCAGTCATGTATTGGCTGTGTCC